CTCCGGGAAGCCTGTGAGGAGTGCGCCTCCCAGCGGGAAAAGGTAAGGTGCAAGCCGGACCCTCCGGCCGGAACGGGGTCGGATATAGACCCAGATTATAGACACACATTATACTAACATCAAATTACTGGCGTGTTGTTGTTTTTTTAATATATTTTTATTGATTTCAGAGAGGAAGGGAGAAGGAAAGAGAGAGAGAGAAACAGCAATGATGAGAGAGAATCATGGATCGGCTGCCTCCTGCACGCCCCCTACTGGGGATGGAGCCCGCAACCCGGGCATATGCCCTGAGCGGGAATCGAACCACGACCTCCTGGTTCAGAGGTCACGAAGATCGACCACTGAGCCACTGGGGCTGGGCGGGAGTGGCTTTCTTTGCAGACGGGTTTGGGAGGTAGAGGTATTGGGGGCAGGGGATCCTCATTTTGCACTGTTAATGGTGTTGGAATTAATTAATTGCAGACGGGTTTGGGAGGTAGAGGTATTGGGGGGGGAGTGTCTCCTCATTTTGCACTTATTTATGCTGTTGGAATTAATTAATTTTTTGGAGGGGTTAATCCTCACCCGAGGATATTTTTCCATTGATTTTTAGAGAAAGTGGAGGAGAGAGGGAGAGACAGAGAGGAACATCGATGTGAGAGAGACCTATCAATTGGTTGCCTCCTTCATGAGCCCCGACCTGGGCCTGGGCTGGGGAGGAGCCTGCAACCGAGGTACGTGCCCTTGACCGGAATCGAACCCGGGACCCTTCGGTCGGCAGGCCGACGCTCTATCCACTGAGCCAAATCAGCTAGGGCATATTTTGTAAAAATATCTTCGAGTGAGGATTTTTTTTAAAAAGATCATCATTTTAAAGGTGATTAATATTAACATAACAAACATTGATGAACTCCTTTGCCTTTTTGGGGGGCCACGTCTTGGAAAGCGCATGTGCCTTCACACCCTCGGCACCTCGGGGCCACATTTCAGGTCCTCAGCAGCCGCGCGTGGCCAGGAGGGGGCGCCCTCCCCCTCAGCTTGGCGCTAGCCTTCCCCGGGGGCTTGGTAAAGCAGGCAGAGGCGATTCTCTCGGCGATTTCCCACAGCGCTGGCCTCCCCGGGGTCCTCTTGCTGTTTGCGTTGACCAGGGCCAGCTCCTGAGCATCGCAGCGGCCTACGGGGACCTGGAGACCGTCCGCTATCTGCTCACCGAGAGGCAGGTGGAGCTGCCGACCGAGCCCACGGACGACAACCCCGCGGTGGTGGCGGCGCACTTCGGGCACACGGAGGTCGTGCAGGAATTGCTCGAGTCTTTCCGAGGCAAGTCCTAGGACATGAGCTCTTCCCCGCCCCTTAGGGGACCCTCTTCTTTAGGAATCAGACAGGCATGGGGCGGGGGCTGCACCCCAAAGGGCTTATTTCTTCTCACCTTTACCCATGTTGAGCTCCGGTGCTCACACTGTAGGCGTCGATGTGCCTTTTTATAAAATCTAATTGAGAATTCCCATGGCTCGCTCTCCCCACCGATTCCCCCCTGGTTTACATTCCGCATGAACGGGCTACATTTGTTCCAACGGTTGAGCCTATACTGATAACATTACGACTCTCCACAGTCCACTCCGGAGCCCAGTCCCTTTTATCACTGAATCCCGTTACATGTTTTGGAAGTGCCGTGTGATGTTGCTTTTTTTTAGTAGCAAGTGATTTTTTTCTTCTGGGAGACTCAGGGTGCTCTGGTCTCCTTTAAATTTCCCATGGTGGCCTCGGATCTGCAATACCGTACAAGTGCAGGCATCGCTGCAATTATAGGCTGAGGCATTGCCTTACCGGTGGTCATTGAAAATGAGGATATTTTTGGGGGTGTAGAGCAGGCTTCAAGGATGTGCAACAGTGGTGCCACACGTGGCCCTTTGCTTACAAGGGCCCCACACTTGGGTCCGACGCTCAACCACTGAGCCACACCAGCCCGGCACAGTATCTCATGTTCTGAATGCTGCCTTCTCTCTCCCTTGGCATTATGGGATGAGCAGGTGGGTTTGTAATAATATGCAGATTCAGAGGGACTGTTCCAGAAAAACGCGATCAAACTGGGCAGAAGCAAATTCCATCTGGAAACAGGACAGATGAGTTTCATTGATGATCCAGGGGGGCAGTCAGCGTAGGGGCCACCAGTGCCATTTGGGGCCACTGTCCCTTTGCCCTTCTGTCTCCCGCCAGGTCCCTGCAGCCTCCAGCGGCTGCTGAACTGGATGCTGGCCCTGGCTTGTCAACGAGGCCACCTGGGGCTGGTGAAACTCCTGGTCCTGACGTACGGGGCCGACCCCGAGAGCTACGCGGTCAGGAAGAACGAGTTCCCTGTCATCGTGCGCTTACCCCTGTACGCGGCCATCAAGGCAGGTGAGTCCCCGCTCAGTCCTCCCCTCTGGGAACTGGCATGGTTCTGAGATATGAGACAGTGTCTCCACCCTTACCCCCACCAGTCAGTTACCTGCATGGAGACGTGGCAACTCCTGCTATTTGGTTTTTCGTTGGTTTGTTTGTTGAACATGTCTTTATGGATTTCAGATAAGAAGGGAGAGGGAGAGGGAGAGAAACATCAATGAGGAGAGAGAATCACTGATCAGCTGCCTCCTGCACGCCCCCTGCTGGGGATCGAGCGTACAACCCGGGCATCGAGCCGGCGACCTCCTGGTTCACAGGTCGATGTTCAACCACTGAGCCACCAAATGTCTGCATCCTCCCTTATTCCTGCCCAGTGTCACCCGGTCAAGGGGATTTCAAGGACAGCGACCGGCTGTGGCCAGTGGCACCGTTGCAGGCGGGCCCGCAAAGGGCAGAGTCCCAGACACGTTCACACTGATCGGTGGATCCGGGAGGTCACAGAGAACTTGAACCCGCACAAGTTGAACATGTTTCGTTTTACCTGGCGGTGTGCCTCAGCGCCCCCTCCTGGCCACGTGTGGTTGTTCAGGATGGGGGCGACGTCTGAGACGTCCTGAGGGTGCCACGTCTGCCCCCCCAGGGAATGAAGACATCGCCATCTTCCTGCTTCGCCATGGCGCTTTCTTCTGCTCCTACATCTTGCTGGACAGTCCCGAGCCCAGCAAACACCTGCTCCGGAGCTACTTCATCGAGGCCAGTGCCCTGCCCAGCAGCTGTTCAGGGAAAGTGGTGAGTAGTCCCTGCCCGTGGATAAGCCGAGAGAGAAGACGGGAGAGAGCCCGGCCGGTGTGGCTCACTGGTTGAGCATCGACCTATGAACCGGGGGTCACGGTTCCATTCCCGGTCGGGGCACAGGCCCGGGTTACAAGCTCGATCCCCAGTCGGGGGCGTGCAGGAGGCGGCCGGTCCATGATTCTCTCTCATGATTGATGTTTCTCTCTCTCTCTCCCTCTCCTTTTCTCTCTGA